AGGTTGCTAGCAAGAGAGATACAAATGTGAAGTTCTAGGCTAGAGGTGATTGAGAATGTTTGGATCTCAATCAACTGACTTCATGGCAAAAAAACAGATACTGTTTATAGGAAGGGGTCAACTGGATGTAAAAGATGTAATGGGCTTGTTATTTTTATGGGAATGATTTTAATTAGCAGTCAAGTAGTATTTACATCTTCGCTGTGCTGTATAGTTATTAATTATACACTGCTGAAGGCCATATACAATATACAAAACCGAAAACTACCTTATTCTGCCCGTTCCAGTTTTGTTCTTTGAAACTCCATCACTGGAGCAGCATCAGACTTACCAAACACAAAACTCACTTGCAAATGAAGGGACAAGATCTTCACTGTTCTGGTAATGACTGTGCCTCTTGATGGTGATCTGTGCCATGACAGCAGCTGCATGACACAAGACAGTTAAATCACTTGTTAACCAGGACTTTATCTAAGACCAGATTTTATATCTTTACTTCATCTCTGACACTGCACCTCCCAGCCCACCTCCCAAGGGCACTTGAGTGATTAACACGTAGCACATACTCAGCCTCTGGCACCTAGGGGTGTTCTCAGTAACTGCTCTAGCCTAAACTGGTAGCTGGCCAGGAGAGTAGTAAACCACCAGAGTTTCTTCAGAGAGAAAAGGGAGAATTCCCCTCACTTGTGACATCCTCTGCTGTATTCTTTTTGCATGTATGTCCGGCCCTTTTATTACCCTACCAGTTTTCTGGCTTACTTGCTGCCTGCCTGAAATTGGCACTACATATTAGTCTGTTATGTCAACAAAACATAGGTGTTATTAAGTCATAATGTGATACGAGCTGTAACGATCAAGTAATACTCTGATGGAGTTGATATTCAGTGTATGTGGAAGATAAAATAATCGTATTATGTCTTGACTCATGCACCCAGATCTTGTATGTGATGAGGAAGATGGAGGAAATTACAAGGAGCCTGTAACATTAACATTTCAGTTGAAAGATAGATGAATTAATGTAATGACTCTGTAAAGAACTGATCAGAAAGCATAACTCCATTTCTTTCTGCAGCTATTTCACCCAAGCCTTAAGTGCTTTCCCTGCTGATACTATGACGTGTTTTGGTGCAAATGCTACAAGAAACTACCATAAATACTGTATATCCTAATTGCTTTTACCCATATGGCATCAGTTTTAGTACCAGGCTCCAGTTTTAAAGATGTGTGCTATTAATGGCTGTAAAACAACTGTTCTTTTAAACAACCCAGTCAAATGACTTTTGAACAGTAATTTACTAAAAAAGACCCAAATAAAAGTTGGTGCGGGCAGTAGTGAAAACTGGTGAAATAATTTAATATCCCCAAAGCATCAATACTGTGAACCAGCATTCAAAAATAATGATAAAAAGTATGATTGAGTGCTATTAATAAGAGTTTTACTATTGATTTTAAGAAGCCTTAGATAAGAGTCGGTGTGTATAGAGCCAATCCCCAGAATCGTACCCCCAAAATACTCATGTTTCCAATAATTCTAATTGATTTATGAATACCCAACAACCAGCATGCATGACCTTTATGAAACTTATGCTCCATATCTCAGTCCATTATAGTGATAAAACCTCACAATGAATATATTGTGAATGAATAACGAAGCCTCAGCTAAACTGACTGCTAATGTCTTTTCCCTTTTTGATTAATAGTGGACCTCCATCACAATGGATCTCATCAAGAACAAGCTGAAAGCAATCTCTATTGAAACATGCCTATTGAAACCCTAAATCATTAGAATTCTTTGGCTCTGATGGGGGCTCAGTAATTAGTTGAGTTGCAATAGACCTCTGCCATAAACAGCATGAATCAGAACACGTCTGATTCTAAGACTTATTATTTGTATTACTGTAGCACCTAGAGGCCACAGGCAAAATCTAAGTCTCCCCATGTTATGCATTGCTCAGAAAACAATAAGACCCCAAGTCCTACAGAACACAGCCAAGTCAGAGAAAGAATTGGCAGTAAAGACTGCTCTGCAGAAGTAAAGCAAAGCAATAGGTATTGGCATATAGAAGATGCCCTCTTGGTTACCCTTTTTGCTCTTTCTTTGCATGGTGTGATTATTATATGAAAAGAAACAGCAGCAGAGGGGAATAAGGAAAAAGGACAGGTCTGACATCAGTGAGGGTATGGGAGTTTGGTGAATAATGAATTATAAGAGAGAAAATAGGGATATGAAATGGAGAGGTACTGGCAGAGATGGTGTGAAGAGAAGCACAGGAATAGCTGATTCCTGAGCTGAGAGAAGGCAGCTGTGCAGGCTGACACCCGGGGTGAGCAATGCAAGTCCTCACCGCAGGCTTCTGCAGCTGGGTCTCATGCAGGGGCTGCGGGTGGTCCTGGGTGTCATGCTGGAAAGGAATCATAAAGTCAGCAAAAAAAGAGATTAAGTCAGTTAATTTCGACAATTTTCCTACCCTAGGCAGCACCAAGTATACTCATATCACTCCAGACAGACATTTATGCATCTTCCAGGGCTGGAGGCCCCCAAACCTCCTAAGGCAACCCAGTCCATCGCTTTGCCCTCCCCCCACCTCTGGAAATAAATATGTTTTTTTTCCTAATGTTTAACCTGCATCTTTCTTCCTGATTTTCAAACCTAATGCTGTTTATCTGATCCACCATGTATACAAGAGATTATTTTAATTCTTTTATAGCGCCTTTTAAGCATTTGAGCATTGTTTCCACATCTGTCCCCACTTTTCTCTCCTTTAGACTAACTGATTCCAAAGATTTTCAGTTTTTCTTCATAGTGTATGCTTGCCAGACCTCTGTTTCTCCTTGTAGCATGTATGTGTCGCTGTGCATTCCCTGACCTTGGCCCCTGTATCCAACAGATGCCCTGCCAGTACTGACAAGGGCAGGATTTCTCCATACGTCGTGACAGCTGTAGTCCTGCTTGCCTATCACAGCGCACTGTTTGTCCAGCTCACCGTAGCAGGACGCTGCCTTAGGTGCAGTTTGGAGATCCTCTGTAATGTTCCATTCCTCATTTGAAAATGTGATCTAACCTGTTGTTCTCCATCCCTTGCGTAGTCCCTCACGCGTGTCCTTATTGAATTGTGCCATGGCTGGGAGGCCCTGGAAATAATGCAGTGGTGACGGTTTTGTAGATACTTGTTTAGTTTTACTCAGAATATGTTTCTCTCTACGTCATGAAACTGTTCTGGAAGACAGTTCTGGAAGCCCTTCTGAATCAAGATAGATTACATTCATTGCTCTCCTATCCACAGGCTTTTACCCTATTAAAGAAAGAAATTAGATTTGTTTGACATGATCTGCTCTTGACAAATTAGTCGTAGCTATTAGTCGTCATCTAGTTTCATCTAGGTGCTTGCAAAGTTCATTTGATTTTTTTTTCTAGAATCTTTATTGGGACTTCAGAAGGAATTGTATCTGTTGATTGGTGGAGTCAACACAGCGACAGGTGATACCGGAAGATGGAAATACTCAATAATCTGTATTCTGTGGCTGGCTGGTCTGTAATTCCTCAGTCCCTTGTCATCTTCCTGTTCCCTTTTTACCTGTTCCCACCGTAGGCTGAAATCTTCAATCTGGACAATGCTTTTAGTCATACAATTTAGTTTTAGGTAGTCCTGCAAGGAGCAGTGATCCTTGTGGGTCCCTTTCAACTCGAGGTACTCTCCAATTCTGATTCGGTGATCTTTGTCACTCACTGCTATTATTTATACTCGCCATCCAGTTGACCTTTCTTGTGAGGTTTGATGCAGAAAAATACTAAAAAAGATCAAGCACTTCTCTCATTTTGTGCTGACAGCTTTTCTTCTACCTTGCGGTCTCCTGAGAGCCAGGCTGGCTAAGAGAGCGCTGGGGCCGCTCCTGTTGGCCATCCGTCCCCGTGGCAGCACACCGCCTCCTCCACAGTGACAATCCTGCGTTCTGCGACCCTGCTGTGAGCTGGATCACGAAACCCATCTGAATTAACAACCAGCCCAACCCAAGCCCAAGTGTTTCACTTGCTTGTGTTTGAGGTTCTTCCTTACCAAGGTTCATGTTCACTGTCCCTTGAGTTACCACCTACCTTCACACGTTCAGCTTTCGTTGCTGGTTAGAAACAAATTTCAGATGGTCTCCTTGGTCCTTATAAAACCCCCTCGTCGCCAACTGATGATATGGCTTTAGGACACATGGTGCACTGTGTCCCTAAGGTTTTCCCTGAAGTTTTCTTTTATTTCTAGCTCTGTATATGTGCCTCCCATGCCGAGTTCCGCTAAAATGGGTGCTTGAGACCCCTTTCACAGCCACGGGCTTCATAAGGTGGGGGCCTTCGTGCAGAGGAGGGTTGGGACGCCCCGTGCTGGGCTCCCCAGGCTCGGGGACATTCCCGCACGGCTCGGCAGACCTCTCGCTGCTGAAACGCCCCGGCGGGGCTGGGGGGCAGCTCCTGCCCTGCCGTCGGGAGCTGTGGGGGGCAAGAAGCATTTTACAGACGAGCCAACAGCGCAACTGTGTTTCCTTCCCCCTTGTATTTCTTTCTTTTTTATTTCTTATTTTTTTTTCCTTTACCCCCCCTCGTGGTTTCTCTCTGCCGGCGGCGGGGCAGCCGGGGGTCGGGGGAAGCCGCCGCCGGGCCGGGTGGGGGTGCGGGTCCGGTCCCCGCGGGGCGGGGGGGGCGGCAGCGGGGGCGGGCAGCGCGGCCCCGCCGCCGCCGGCAGCGACGCCCCCGTGGCGGGGGCGCGGATGGTCTCTCCCGGGCCGGCGGGAAGCGCTGTGACACCTGCTGGCGGCGGCGGGCCGGCCCACGGCGGGCGGAGCGGCGCGGAGCGGCGCGGAGCGGGCAGAGCGTGCCCGCCGCGGGGCGCTCCGCGGTGATGCGCGGCCGTCCCGCGGTGCGGGGCGCGGGCACCGCGGGGCCGGGCGCCCCCTGATCGGCGGCGCGGCGGGGCACTGCGGTAGCGGCGCGGCGGCGGCTCCGCGCCCCCCGCCCGTCCTCCCCTTTTTCCTCCTCCTCCTCCTCCTCCTCCTCCTCCTCCTCCGCCGCGCCACTTCCAGGGGAGGCTGGTGTCATGCGGCTGGCGCCGAGGGAGGGGTGCCCGGGGCCGCAGCGGCAGTGAGAGGAGCCGAGCCGAGCGCCCTGCGATGACAGCCATGAAGGAGCAGCCGGCGCACCCGGGCGGCAGGGGGAACCCGCCGCCGCCGCAGCCCGACCAGGTGGGACCCGCGGCGGGAGGCGACGGGGGATGGACGGGGGCGGGGGGGGGGGGAAGAGGTGGGGGGGCTGCCGTCCCGGCGAAGTTGTGCGGAGCTGGGTAAAAGTCCGGGGAGGGGGGGGGCGGGCGCCCTCGGGGCTACTCGGCCGGGGGAAGCGGGAGCCCCGCGGAGCCGCCTCGGGGGATGCGGGGGGGGGAGCTTTGAGGCCGCTCGGAGGGGACCCAGCCTTGTCCGGCCCCGCCTCGGCGTTGGGGTATCGCTCAGCCCCGGCCCTCGGCGGCAGCGGGTCCCGCAGGAGTTTGGTCTCCGCTTCCCCGCGAGTTGCGCCGCGGGGGATACACACGCGCGGGGGTGGAGGGCAGCCTGCCCGGCCGAGACGGGGCTGCCCGGGGAGGCAGCGGGGGAGCGGGCCGGGGCTGGCGGGGCCGTGCGCCGGGGAGCGGGGCGGGGGGCGCTCCCACGCTCCGCATCGCCACCGGGGAGGTTTCCCGGAGGGTTTTTGGCAGCGCCGGGGCGGCAGTCGCGTCCCTCGGAACGACGGGTGCCTCCCCGCGGGCTGGCGGCGGCGAGGCTGGCCGGGGTACCGGGGTCTGCCTCGGTACCGGCTCGCTATCAAAACGGGCGAGTCTTCGGGCGGGCGTGTGAAGGATGGGTGCCGAGGGGAGCAGCTGAACTTGGCTGCCATCGGCACAAAATCGAAGTTTTCGTTACCAGACCGCCGTAGCTGTTGCGCCGGGGAGATAGCGCTAACGCCGGGGGAGGGATGGGGCTGCGCGCCTTCCCAGCCGGCGCCCCGGGGGGATCCTGGCGATGTGCTAACTCCAGAGCTATTCCGAGACTGAGGTGTTTGAGGTGTTGGTGTTTTTTTTTTTTTTTTGTTTGTTTTTTTTTTTTTTTTGTTTGTTTTTTTTTTGTTTTGTTTTTTTTTTTTTTTTTTTGGATATTATCAGGACTCACCGCTCCTGTTTTGAACTCTGGCATGCCGAACGGGGCTTGCAGGACGTGAGGAGCCGCATATCACATTTTAATTCTCAGTTATGTGCATCGACAGAGCTCAGTTTTCATCCAGTACACCAACATTGGGTGAAAAACGCCAACAGTGAAAGCTGCTGTGCACAGTTAGGTTTTAGGAAGCCCGTATCGGAGTATCCAGTCCTGTGTGCACAGCCAGGCTGCACGTTAAGCTTCTGGGTAGTCTTTCCAATATCGGTGAACCCATTCATTTAAATAAATTTAAAGATGTATGCTTTTTTCCTGAAAAGTGTATGTATTATGACACATTTTCATGCAACACTGATAAAATAATACATTTGAATTTGAGGAGCGTTCTCGAATAAATTAATTGTGTAAGTTACATTATCTGAAAAAGATGGGTAACTTCCATCAGTACTTAAATTTCACACAAATAGTAGAATTTATGGAAAAATCAAGATCACTTTAAATAGTCTCAGAGGTTCACAGAGCTCATAAATTTCAGGGACATTATTTAGTTTTAGATGGATACTGCTTTTAGATATAATAAAAAGTACTTGAACTTAACCAATCTTTATTTCTTTATATTCAGTTCAGACATGCTGAATTGCCAGAATGTCTTTTTGTTGTTGAAGGTGGAAATCTTTTCAAAGCAAGCTTAGTATTACATGCCAAAAATCACGGGTTTGACTGCTCTTTGAGGTCGTGATGAGGAACAGTGGTTAAATTCTTAATTTAAAACTCGCTAAATTTTTAAGAGTTTATCCTAAATATAAAAACATTATTACCTGAGTGGTCTGGAGTTCTCAGCCTCTCTCGGTGGTGGATGGGAGAATCCACTCGTCTTTCAGCTGTGTCTGTCTGCTTGAAGTGTAAATGTGAAGTTCCATGTATTTGCATCAGTTTTTTCCAGAACCAGTCTGGTTTTCTTGGTTAAAGCTGATATTGAATCAACTTTAATTCCCTGTTGTCTTAGGTGATAGGGATGTCATGCAGGTTATAACAGCATTGCATATAAAATGTTGCTTTTAATGCATGGTAAGTCTTTCTATGGCTTTAAATATTAATGGTTAAGGATGCAGGCCTAAATCCTGCAGTGAGCTCCGTACCAAGTGAGGCCGCGGTTGGTGGATCTCTGTGAGCACCGAGGCAACTGGCACACCTTCGCAAAGCCAAGATCCATGTGGCTGTAGCTCAGCCCTGGCCAGGGCTTGGCCACAGGCTGTATCTGACTCTAGGTTTGTGCCTGAAACCATTCTTAGTACGGCAGCGTGATATGCCAACACCACCAAGCTGTGTGGTGGGGTGACAGGCTGGAGGGCAGGGATGCCATCCACAGGGACCTGGACAGGCTGGAGAGGTGGGCCCGGGCAAACCTCATGAAGTTCAACAAGGACAAGTGCAAGGTCCTGCCCATGGGTCAGGGAAATCCCCAGCACAAATCCAGGCTGGGTGAGGAGTGGATGGAGAGCAGCCCCAAGGAGAAGGACTTGAGGGTGTTAGTGGGTGGAAAACTGCCTGTGAGCCAGCAATGTGCGCTCGCAGCCCAGAAACCACCCGTGTGCTGGGCTGCATCCAGAGCAGGGGGGCAGCAGGTCGAGGGAGGGGATTGTCCCCCTCTGCTCTGCTCTCGTGAGACCCTCCTGCAGTGCTGGGTCCAGCTCTGGGGCTGACAGCATAAAGAGGACATTGACCTGCTCGAGCAGGTCCAGAGGAAGCTACAAAGATGATGAGGGGGCTGGAGCAGCTCCCCTGTGAGTCCAGGCTGAAAGAGTTGGGGTTGTTCAGCCTGGAGAAGAGAAGGCTCTGGGGAGGCCTTATATCGGCCTTCCAGAGATTAAAGGGGACCTCCAGGAAAGACAGGGAGGGACTCTTTATTAGGGGGTGTAGGGATAGGATGAGGGGTAACAGCTTTAAACTGACAGAGGGTAGATTTAGGTTAGATCTAAGGAAGAAATTCTTCACTGTAAACGTGGTGAGACGCTGGCCCAGGGTGCCCAGAGCAGCTGTGGGTGCCCCCTCCCTGGAAGGGTTCAAGGCCAGGTTGGATGGGTCTGGGAGCACCCTGGGCTGGGGGAAGGGGGCCCTGCCCAGGGCAGGGGGATTGGGACTGGATGATCTTTAAGGTCCCTTCCAACCCAAACCTTTCTATGATTCTATGTGGCTGTAATCTTAATGGAGGGATATTGTGGATCCGAAGACTTCCATTGGCTTTTTGTGGTTGTAGTTACAGAGCTGCAGCCATTGTGGACACTGTGGTGGGCATGGGGAGAAGAACAAACAGGGACCCATGTGTTTACCTTGGTTTTCCATACCCCATAGCAGTGTCACCTGGCTGGCCTGCATGTAAAATGATGCCTTAGGGCCTTCTATAAATCCATCTCTGGCCATGTACTCTTTTTTAGCATGTCATTTTGCTTGGTGAGCTTGAATACATCTGTAGTGTCACTACAAGTGACACCTATAGTTTATTTATTTTTAACAAGAAGGTGCATCTACACTGACAGGGTTTACTGAGGTAGCAGGAGCAGCAAATCTTTTCGGGTAGAGAAGTGGTTGGACCTGTGGAAAGTCCAAGAAGGAACAAGAAATTACACCAAGATTGTCTAAGTGTAAATCTTCTGACTTCAAAGTCCGGTTATTCAGATACCTCTGAGAATAGTCATATCAAAATTGATGCATTTGTGGTAAATTTATAGGCTTGTGACTTGAGCTGTATTTTCAAATTACAGCAGGCTAATGCTGGGACTCTCCACTTAAATAAAAGCTTGAACTCACTGAAGCATCCACAGCCATCAGCTTATGAACAAATTGGATACAACTTCATATCCAACACTTCCCCTGATGGTATTTTTAAACCCAGCCCCTCCATGGCCAAGGCATCTAATAACAACTTCCATTAACAGTGCTATTGATGTTTCAGTGATTGGTTTGATAAGTTAGCCAGATTTATTCTCAACTCTTTGCTAAATGATGACTCATATTTATTGCCAAAATTACAGTTTTATGTTTAGATGATATATGTGTAGAAAGGAAAAGAGCTGTAAATTGCTTGTGTTTCTTCTCATTTCCGGAAAGCTCTATCAAAGTGTTCAGACTTCTGTCACTTGAGCACTTGTGTTGGGATTGAATGTGGCTCCCTCAGTTCCTCTTAGAGAGTACAAAAAATAGTGGTTTTTATCTTGTAGCTTTTAAGAACTGTCCTGGGGTCTTGGACAATGATGTTTAGCAATGGTTTTTAGAAGGCACAACCATTCGGTAGTCAGTGGACACAACATATTTGAAAAATATAATGTACCTGTATGACTTGCTGGTTGATGAATGTTGCTGTCTTTGCAGATGAAAAACTAAGATAATTCCTCTAGGTATTACCTTTGTGAGGCTTCAATCTGTTTACAAAAAACAGATGATCTACACCACCTGGTGCTACTTGCTGTTCTTTGTGTGTATAGAAGACAGACCTTTGAAATTTATAATCATTCTCTCCTGAGCCTCTTTTACTCTTCCAACTTAAGGCCTTTTTAAAATTGATTATAAAAGGGAAAAAAAAAAAAAAAAACAAACCAGATTTTTTTTCTTCACTGTGTGTCATTTTAGAATATACTACAATATTCTCCTTAAAAACAGGTAAGGAAAATTAAATCACACTGCAATTATGTTGCACTAAACAGGGAAATTATTTGGTAAGCATTTAAATTACATGTTTAGCATATAAACAAGGACAACTGAATACTGTTTGCTTGACTGTCTTGATTAAGGAGTTGAATTTTCTCTGTCTCAGAACCAGTTTCTGTAGTCACCAAACAAGAGGCATATTTGAAAAGTACATCTGAATAAAAGAGAACAATGTGTTTTATTTTTTCAGTGACTAAGGCCAAAATAAATTATATTTTTATGTCTTCCTTCATTGCCTTACTTCTTTTTCCCCAAAACAGACTCTGATCTTGCAGCGGGAAAAATGTTGATGGATAGCTGTGTCTGTTCAGAGTAGTATTCATCTTAATGGAGTTTTATCAAGGCAAAAGGGC